CTATTTTGTAGTTTTGAAATATGTTGGTCCCACCGGAAACAAAAACGTCAACTTCCGGTTATAAGAGAAAAACTACATAATTTGAGTATTTTTCTTTTCCATTAATATCTTTTGTAGATAAAGTATTTGGAGTGAATTTTAAATATGTTATTCAGACAGCAAATGACTAGAGTAACCTCAAATATCTTTCAAAAATTCGCTTCCGGTCGCGTGTTTTTCTGTCCTAAATATGAGAAGTTGTCTGAGCAAGATCTCGGAAACGGTAAGAGATTAAGACACCAGACTTATATGAGCAACAGACCTTAAGGTGTAGCCAAAACCACTTGGGTTCAGAGCGTCAGCCGTCACTTTCGGTCGTCACAGGAAGTGATCAAAGAAATCGAAAATTTCAACTTTTCTCTTTTTATTTAAAAATTGTATCACTTTATTGCATCTTTTTCGCAGATTCGCAAGATGTTGGTCCCACAGGAAACAAAAACGACAACTTCCGGTTATAAGAGAAAAACTACAAGATTTGAGTATTTTACATTTCTATAAATATTCTTTATAGATAATGCATTTGAAATGAATTTTAAATATGTTATTCAGACTGCAAATGTCTAGAGTAACCTCAAATATCTTTCAAAAATTAACTTCCGGTCGCGTGTTTTTCTGTCCTCAAAATGAAAAATTGTCTGAGCGAGATCTCAAAAACAGGTAAAAGATTAAAACACCAAATTTTTATGAGTAGCAGACTTTGAGGAGTAGGCAAACCCATTTTGGTTAAACGCGTCAGTCGTAACTTCCGGTCGTCACAGGAAGTGATCAAAAAAATCAAAAATTTTAACTTTTCTTTTTTAAATTAAAGTTTGCATCCCTTTATTGCATCTCTTTCGCTGTTTTGAAATATGTTAGATTCCACCGGAAACAAAAACGTCAACTTCCGGTTTTAGGTGATAAACTACGTTATTTCGATATTTAACTATCTCATAAGTATTGCTTATCGATAAAGTACTTGAAATGTTTTTATGCATTTTGTAGATACTGCAGATGTATAGAGAAACGTCAGAGATTTTTTATAAAATTCACTTCCGGTCGCGTGTTTACCTGTCCTCTGAATTAGAATTTGTTCTCACAATATTACTCAGCAACAGTAAACGACTGAAGTCTAAAACTTTCAGGACTGATAGTCAGTCATCAGTTTATTTGAATGGCGAGGAAATCTTGTATCGCCGTTACTTCCGGTCGTGACAGGAAGTGATGCAAAAAAAGTAAATGGTTAATGGTTAGCACGTTGGATTTTCACGCTGACAACCAGGGTTAAATCTCCAGAGTGTCTGAATTTCTTTTATCACCTTTTCAGCTTGAATTTACGTTTTTATTTTCAAAATCGGACGGAAGACCTCTCATTGCTCGCATTGAGTTTCTAGTTATTATTATTACTCTTTTTTTTTAGACAAAATTTTGTGCACGCGATTTCTCGAACACTATTCAATAAATTTCTTGAAATTTTCAGAGATAAAAGGTCTTTATATGAATTTCAAATACAATTCAGTTTTTTGGAAAATTCGGTTCCAGTGCCAAGTTATGGACAATTTTCTGATTTTAAAATGAAATTTTGTCCTCGAAGGATTTGAGGAACGGCTAAAGATATGAACTGAAGACTTATTAGAGATGATAGAACATGACTTCTAAATGTTCAAAATTCCTTTGTTTTTCGTCAGCAGTACTTTCGGTTGCTACCGGAAGCGAATTAAAAAAAGTCGAATTTTTCACCTTTTTTGTTTTTCAACATTTTTCTATGATATTAATAGGGTTAATAGAAACTTTTTTCAAAGTGCTAAATATATAATTTGTTTTAAAATTGATGAACCCAAAATCTAGAGAATTATTATTATTCTTTTTTTCAGACAAAATTTTGTGCACTCGATTTCTCGAACACTGTTCAATGAATTCCTTAGAAATATTTAGGGATAAAAGGTCTTCATATGAATTTTACATAACCTTTTATTTTTGCTTAACGTCCCCAATAAGTAGTTGAAGTACCGGCCCCAAAATATTTCATTTGCAAATATCTCGGAAACGAAAAAGAATTTCTAAATAGTTGTTGAACAAAAAGTATTCAAAATCATGAGAGCGTTAAAGTGGTATGAAGAAAAATGAGCTGGTTCCTCGAAAAAAAAAAAGGCCAAGAGGGGCCAAAAGACTTTAATCAATAACTCTTTAACGATCAATATTTTGTAATACATTGCTATAGCAAAATGTTTATCTCACCAATTTACAACTATATATTATGATATTCAGATCATATGTTACATGATAAGGGGCCATAAGGGGCAGAATGCAAAATCTTTGATGCTTTACCTCTCAAAAGTGAGAAATGTTTTGTTGAGCGATATCGATCAAAAGATATTCAAAATAACTAAACAATATGCAACTTACAATTTTTTGCTAAACGTCCCAATTAAGGAGTTGAAGGGCTGACCCCTAAATACTTCTTTTGCGATTATCTCGAAAACGAAAAAGAATTTCTGAATACCGTAAATCACTTTTTTTCCGAGATCTTAATTTTCGCGTAATTATGCAAGTCTGTCTGCTAGCGAAAATTTTATTCTCGCGTATAATTGTATTGTTAAAGATTATGTACAACAAAAAGCAGACCTCGCGAAAATTTTGTCTCGCTCATAAATATCAAATAGCCATCTCAAGAAAATAAGGTGTCCCGAAAATAATGTGATCTACAGTAGTCGTTGAACAAAAAGTGTTTAAAATCATGAGAGCTTTAATGCGATATCAAGAAAAAAAAAGTCTGATCCCTTAAATTAGGGGCCGGCCGAAAGTATTCAATCAATTACTCTTTAATGATCAATATTTTGTAATATATTACTGAAGCGAAATAGTGCATCTTCACACTCTTTTACTATATAACATGATGGTGACATCATATGTTATGCAATAAGGGATCATTAGGGGCCTGATTGCATAATCTTTGGCGCAATATATAATCATTTAGGACTTGAAGGGCCTGCCCATAATATTTCTTTTGCATATATCTCGGAAACGAAAAAGAACTTCTGAATAGTTGTTGAACAAAGAGTGTTCAAAGTCATGAGAGCTTTAAGATGATATCAAGAAAAAGGGACTCATTTCTGACATGAGGGGCCAAGACGGGCCAAAAGTCTTTAATCTATAACCCTTTAATGATCAATATATTGATACACATTACTGAAGCAAAATTGTTTGTCTTAACAATTTATTCATATCATTGTATTTGAACGAAAATCTAAGTCAAATTCTTATCTCATCAAAAATCGGACGGAAGACCCACTCGTTGCTCGCAACGAGATCGCATCTAGTTATTATTAAGGTCTTTCGTCTCAACGGAAGACCTTCTTATTATTCTGTTGTTTCTTTTCAACTTTTTTATAAAGGTCTTCCGTCCCAACGGAAGACCTTCTACTGATTCTGATGGTTAAGATTATTATTCTTTTTTTTTTCTTCTTTTTCCTAGACGCCAACTTTGAGACCTCATATCTCGCTCATTTTTCAACGGATTTTGCTCAAATTTGCAGAGTTTATAGACGTTACAAAACTCAATCAGAATGCTGTCAAACAATTCAAAAAGTCACTTCCACTTTTGAGTTATTCCCCTTTAAATGAAAATTTAGGTGCCTTTTTTCCAGACAAAGGCTCCGAGACTACAAAAGCTGGAGCAGAAATTCTACCGAATTTAAATAATAGAAGGATTGAAGTTGTGCACATCGGTTTTTGTTTTTCGATTTCTGTATTCAAAATGGCGCTATATAAGGGTTAAAAATTAGAACGCCTAAAAGAGCGAAAATTAGACATATTTTCCTTTGTATCTTTAAAACTAAGAATATTTTGATAAAACATGTAGAATAAAAGTTGTGCACAATTTTAAGGCCTTTCATTTGACACCCCTAAAAAGGGGTTGGCCCCTAAAATTAGGGATCTGGAGCCCTTTAAAGTTTTTGCTTTATAACTCAAAAACGGTAAATATTTCGAAATGGCTGCTGTTAAAAAAGTTGTTCTTTGACGTCTTATTGATCTCATGAAAATGTTATTTTGTTCGAGTCTTGTGTTTTTAATGAGCCAGAAGCTTGACCCATATACAGGTAACTGTTTTCATTCAGCAAGTAAACGAGAGCTCTTCATGCGTGTAACTAAAACAAACTTACTATAAATAATAAACCTGGCTATATAAGATGCTAATATTCTTTAGAATAAGGGTCTTGAAGTGTTTTGTGCTTTATTTTCAAGTTATTTACTGACAACTTTCCCTTTAATTTCATTTTTTTTCAAATTCGGTCTACTAAAAAAGGAAAAAAGATGACCTTTTCTTCTATCATATAAAAAACAAACAATATAGTGAGAAAATAAAACATAACTGAAGCATACACTATTCACAGCCATTAAGTGCACGCCTTTTACATTCACCTTGTGTGTTTACAATTATGTAACACCTCCCTCGATAGCGCGTGTCAAAGGAGGTCACCGGGGATCAATCGGTGTGTGAACCAGCGACCTACGGTCATACACAAAACAAACCATAGAATGGCCATTCCAAATTCATTTTGTAAACTAAGTCATGAGCGGATAAATATGTTGAATCTTTCAGATTATTTTATAATATCTTTGATTAAATCGCTAGGGCATTTCATTTAATATTTTATTCGCTGAATTACAAGAAAGTTGCATAATTATTTTTATAAACAATTCATTTCTCGATATCGAGGTAATTGTCTGTTTTATTTCAAATAATATTCAAAATATGTTACATTTAGTTAAATAATTCCTACAAGTGATGGAACTTTTGAAACTTAAAATATACATGTATGTAATCTAATATACGTTCTTTCGTCGACGCCCTTTAAATGTACAACTCTATATATATATATATATATATATATATATATATATATATATATATATATATATATATATATATATATATATATATATATATATATATATATATATATATATATATATAAAGATACCGTCCATCCACCGTCCAGTGTCTCCATGTCGCAGTAAACTTGAACAGGATTGGATATATTCCCATTAAGATAAATGTTGTACACACCAGAATTGTTTTGATCACTTTCCCGAATATCCTTACAATCCACAGGAAGAACTGAAGCAGAACAAAGAAATGAATACAGAGATTGTATGCTGAAATAAAAAGACATCTTTAATTGACAGGATAAAGATCCGTGTAGATCGACATGCAGATTATAAGTAGGAGTGTCATAAAAAGGTTAAGTGCAATTATACCGAGGTTGAATTTTGTATCATATTCTAAATATTTTTGCAAATATTTTTTAATGTCCTGATGCTAAATGAACTGAATTTTTGCTGATAATGTTTAATTTTTTTTTCCTTGCCTAAGACCACAATGTCAAATTTATGGATGGGGTTTATTTAATTTTTGTACATCGATTGACTAATACTTATCACGATATAATTATTGATGATATCAGTTGGCAAGTTTGCACCTATTATTTGCTCTAATTGTCAAATAAAGAAACAATGATTAACATTTTTTTTTATTTCAAGGTCTTATTAAGGAAAGATTTTGAGGTCTTATTAAGGACAGATTTTCTTCAGCTTCACCGTTCACGGTAGCTCAGTCGGTAAGGCGCTCGCTTCTTGATCGGGGGGTCGTGAGTTCGAATCTCGGCCGCGACTGACCTAAGTCGATAAAAAATGGGTACAAATGTTCCTTCGCCATGCGCTCGGCACTTTGAAGTGAAAGTTGCGGGTCCTTCGGATGAGACCTTAAAAACCGAGGCCCCGTGTCTCGACAGGCGTTGGCACGATAAAGATCCCTCAATGCTCAATGGCCTGAGTGCCGAGTAAAGGTCAAAATTTGAAGCCCTTCACAGGCATATGGTGACGTCTCTTTATGAGTGAAAAATTCTCGAATGGGACGTAAAACAACATACAGTCAATCAATCAATCGATCTTCAGCTTCAAGTTATTTAAAAGCCACCATTTTCAAGTAGTTTAAATACTACATTGAAATGAAGGAGCTACATTGTCATTAAAATACACTTTTTACGATATTATTAAAATAAAAAAGAAAATTCTTCATTTTTTCATAATAGTACTCTAAGAAGCAGGTAAATTGTAAGAAGAGTAATTTCTATGCGTCAAAATAATGTACGTGCAATCATTCTAAAATATGACACAATATAAGTGTAACAGGGATGTGGAATCAAACAAAAACTCCTGTCAGAGTTCAAAATTATTCATTGCAAACAGTGGAGTGAAATATGAAGATAACGAACAATAATCAAGTTAAAAAGTTGATTGAAGCAAAACAAACTGGGGGCAAGGCAAACAAGACCTATGAAAACATCAGAGGTAGGATCAGGATCCATGGAGGAGTAAGCGTCTCCTGTCGACAGGTCACACCCGCCGTGTGAGTTATACGAATAGAACATAGTGGAATCATAGCCCATTCTAAGAGAACAGGCTTTCCCACAAATATGTTTAATATAAGTATGACTATGAATGGTGATGACAACAGACTCAGAGAAGAAAACAAAGAGTGATCGGAATAAGAGGGAGAGCTTTAAAGAAAACCAATCGAACAAAAACCTTTCAAATCAAGAACCAATAAAAACCAAAATAACAATTGTCCACTTCAATACACCGGATCAATACCCTTGGTTATATAAAAAATTGATTTTGTATATAATTTTTTTCTTCCTAAAATTTAACAAAATGTACAGTAAGGGAAAACGAAAGAGTGGACCTAGGTTTTGAATATCAAATTTAAGGGGAGACAGGACACATGCCACTTGACGCAATTGACTATTTCATAGTCACCGTAAATGTAGGTGCTAAACATTATTCAAATCATCAATATATGTGTAATTTTTGTACAACTTGTTAAGCTTCAACATTTAATGTTAAAATACTTAAGAGTTTTAAACGATCATGTAAATATTTTTAAAAAATGTGAAATTGATTGATCCACCCCTGTATTTCTTTACGCGGAAATCTTACAGGTCAGTGACGTCATATATGATCTCTACGTGCTGTGAGATCAAGTACAGGTTGATTACCTGCTCAGTCGTATTACATAAAAACAGGTCACAGTCAATGCATGGTGATGGATTTTTTAAAGCTGGAATTGCAATAATAAATTTTGCGTGTTTGGTAGCGAGATTTTCTGAATTTATATTCCATATTGCTTGTTTAAGTTATCGTGTGACGTCACAGTTGTTTTTCCCTTACTCGGAAAATGTGAACATGAATCATCTTTACCACGATTATGTCTTGTTCAAGGATGTCCTGTGCGATATTGGGGTACGCTTCACCTTTCGATATTGATACAATTAATAATTACGATGAAGGACTTCAGTTCTATCATAATTTTTAAAATATTTATTGAGAGATTTTTTTTCCCAAGTGAATTTTTTGTCGTGGAAGCTGTCTTGAAAAGTGCATAATTTATCCAAACCATATACATTATGAAATATGAAAAAGTGCTTTAAGAATTCTAAACTTTTTTATATTCTGAAATACTTGAAAAGATACACGTTCTCATACGTATTTTTTTTTTTTTTTTTTTTTTTTTTTTTTTGCTCAAAAATTCCCCTTATGGACTCAATAATGGACCCGTAAACATGAAGACCAAAGGAACCAAAACGCCATACAAACACTGTACGGAACGATATTTGTATGGCGATATCTCTTAAAGAAGTCAAGAAATCTGATGACAGAACTGTTTTAAGATATGTAGGACATATTAAATTAGAAATATACAATATGTGACAAAAATTGATTGACTAGATTTTTTTCAGCTCATTGTCCTGTTCCTCTTTAAATAAATTAAAATATATATTCTGACCAAGTTCTATAAATTTATTTTATATACAAAACCTAACACTAATACATTTGTCCGACATAAAATAAAATGCCATAAACTAGGCCGATGCGTTTTCACTTAATAGCAATTTTTGAAACCATAAATGAAAGTTATAAGCAGATTGACTAGTGATATATTTATTTTTCAAGCAGTATAGAGACTCTCAAATACTTACAAATACGTGGATAATTTTTAGGGAGAGAAAGGGAAGGAAGAGGGGACTCTGTAAAAATTTCTTTGAAACCCCATTTGTGGTCAAACATCTCAAAAGAGTAAGGAATGCCTTTTTCAAATCAAAACAATACAACATTCAATTGTTGTTATTTCTCATCACGAATTAGTAATCAGGAAGATATAGGGATAAACATAAATGTAGGTTAAAGAAATATCCAACCGAGGAAGAAAAAAAAAATAACAGACGGTCAAACTTATTAACACTGCTAAGTTGTCAAAGAAACTATTTTTACAGTAATCAATATTGATGGTTAATGATTGTTTGATAGAACCGTGTTCTACTGTAAGCAATAATTATCCCCGTTATAAACGTTGACATAGCCGAACCTGTAATCTCGTGTACTGGATTGGTCTTTATAAAAGTCTCTCCATTCTTGCAATTATGGCTTTCACATACATAGATTATTAAGATTAACGGTAAAAGGATATGTTCTTGCAAAGCAAAAAAAAAAATAATAATAATAATAAAAAAAAAAAAAAAAAAAAAAAAAAAAAAAAAAAAAAAAACAGTAAAAACAAACAGAAAAAAAACCCAAACAAACAAAAAGCAAGCAAACAAACTAATAAACAGATAAAACTTTATTTTCATATTATGAATATGCAATCCTTTTGGACGTAAGTATTAATCTTTAGGAGCCCTGCTCTATTTTAAATGATAAACAAATTACCTTGACAATTTTCCCCGAAAGAACCAATGGTACAGTTGCAGGTGTATCCTCGTGCACTGGACTGGTCTGCCACACAAGTTCCTCCGTTCTGACAATCATTATTGTCACACACATTTACTGTAGATACAATATTGAAATCTAAGAAATTCCCAGTAATTATCAATGGTTCAAAAGAAAGTGGCTCCCATTAGCCATGTACCTCAGATCAGTTGACTCGACACTTATTTAGTGTTTCGGCGGTATGATACAAGGTTTAATATTGATTAGATGCAAATCCACCATCATCACAAGCCTAACTGCACATCTGTTGTACAGATTATTACATTAGCGAGGAGGGGAGCATACTACCTGCATTCTTACTGTGTTTATATGACATAATAAGTATTGTCATTATGTTGTCAATTTATGCATTAAATGGTATATTTGTCATAACCCACCCCTTTGAAACTGGAAATAATCGCAATATGACCTCACTCAGAAAGGTATCAATCTATTCGATGTTACATTGAAGACTTCCCGGGGTCAGCCCACCCTTCTAGAATTTGAAATGAAAATCATTTTATCCCGCCCCATGTTCTCAATTTCTACATGTCAAGAAAAAATAGGGTATGTGTATAATATGATCAAGCCATGATGTGTGTGGGGGGAGGGGGGGGGGAGAGTAGCCTGGTCAAAAATGTTTTTAAAAAATCCTAAAATTTGTGGATTTTAAACAACCTCCCATTTAAAATCAATTCTTATTCCAAAATACGAATTGGCCTTTGCAATTTTTTTTCATCGTCATATTATTTTTAACTCAATTTGGTCCAAAGGGTGCAAAAGGAATATTTCGAAACCTTATTGCACATCTACAGGATATTCCCAATTATGTTCCAAAAGATGCTTTGACTACTGCAAAAATGTAGGAGGAGGTCAGGGAACCAGGTCTCTGTATAGAAAACATCGTTTCTTGACACCCAATTGGCCCCAGAGGAAATTACAAAACCGTATTGCATATCTGACACTCCCAATCATAAATCTAAAATATAAATGGGCTACTGCGAAAAATGTATAAAAAGAGAGAGAGAGAGAGATCAGAGAGCCAGGTTTTGTAGAAAACATCTTTTTTTTTTTTTTTACCCTAATCGCCCACAGGGTGAAAACCGATACAAATCCTTATTGCACACCTACAGGACACCCCCAATCATATTCCAAAAGATGAGATGGCTGCTGTTAAAGGTGTAGGAGTAGTTTGTGGAAGAAGCTGGTGTGACAGACAGAGGGAACGGACGGACGGTACAGGATAACAACAATATACTTGAATTTTCTTAGAAAGGCGGGTATAACAACAAACAAACAAGTAAGTAAACAATCAGATAAAATGTGATTTTCGATACGCATCCTTTTGGCCTAAATATTAATCCCTAGGAGCCCTGCTGTATTTTAAGTAATTAACAAATTACCTTGACAATTTTCCCCGAAAGAACCAATGGTACAGTTGCAAGTGTATCCTCGTGCACTGAACTGGTCTGCCACACAAGTTCCTCCGTTCTGACAATCATTACTGTCACACACATTTACTGTAGATACAATATTGAAATCTAAGAAATTTCCAGTAATTATCAATGGTTCAAAAGAAAGTGGCTCACATTAGCCACGTACCTCAGATCAGTTGACTCGATATTTATTTAGTGTTTCGGCGGTATGATACAAGGTTTAATATTAATTAGATGCAAATCCACCATCATCACAAGCCTAACTGCACATCTGTTGTACAGATTGTTACATTAGCGAGGAGGGGAGCATACTACCTGCATTCTTACTGTGTTTATATGACACATTAGGTATCGTTATTATGTTGTCAATTTATGCATTAAATGGTATGTATGTCAATACCCAAGGAGGTCATTTCTACCCCTTTGAAACTGGATATGATCGCAATATGACCTGCGTCAAAAAGGTGTAAATCTATTCGACGTTACATTGACAACTTCCCGTGGCAAGCCCGTTTAAGTTTTTAATTCTCTTGAAAATTTTCGTTAATTAATGATACTTTGGCTCGTCCCTTACAGTTTTCAGGTACATTAGAATACAGTTAGTTTATTTCTGTAACAAAATGTAAATAAAGTTGTTCTAAGCTCTTGCGCCAAAGCGATGTGCAACATTGAAAGAAATTATAATTGACCGTCTCGTGATCAGTCTGGACATAGAATATGGCACCAAAGTGTTGATATTTAGTAGTGCTATCCCTTTTTGCAAATTGTCTGTATTTATGTGCAAATTCTATACATATTGAATTCAAAACCTAGCTGTAAATTTGATGACATGTTTTGAACGCAATTTAAAACTTCGGGCATACTTAATATAGCTGCGTTCGAGTGGAGATAATACTGTCAACAAAATAAAGGTTAACATGTAAGTACATGTATTCTTTTAATCGTGAAAGTTACATACAAATTAAATTAATTTCTATAACAATTCCTGATAGGATTCATACTGCAATAAAAATATAAACATGATTCAAATATCCATTATTGATATCCAAACATTTGGATCCTCAGAAATAGTCCTATAGTGTTGTATAAACTAGACACATTACCTTCGCAATTATTCCCGAAATAACCAGGGAAACAGTTGCACTTGTAACCTCTTTTAATGCAATGATCTGCCTCACAGTTTCCATTCTGACAATCATGTCTGTCACATACATTAACTATAAAAAAAAATAAATCTGAGAAATTTGTTGTGTATTAAAATGGCTCCTTTTTGAAGCATTCATATATATATATATATATATATATATATATATATATATATATATATATATATATATATATATATATATATATATATATATATATATATATATATATATATATATATATATATATATATATATATATATATATATATATATATGTATGTATGTATGTATGTATGTATGTATGTATGTGTTGAAATATATAATTAGGTGCACACCTCTTATTATTTGGAATCGGTAGGGGAAGAAGATAGTGCAGAAAAAAAATATTATAAGCTCCTTAACTTGCAGTCTTGAATTTAAAAAAAATGTGATAATATACTAAACTGAGCCTCATACTTTTTGATGAGGAATATGTTCCCTTCCAAATAGCTTGGCAAACGTAATTTATCAAACAGTTTAGCTGAATTATTTTTTGTATTATAACACCAGTGAAAAATCTGGAATTCCCCTACTTTCACTTTCATGTTCAGAGATTAACACAGACAAACCCATTTTGCAGCAAAATGAATCTTACATGCCACTTTTGAGATTTTAACCAAGGAAAGACAAGTTAATGTGCTTTGATTTGAGAGGTCTCTCACTGCTGAATGAAAATTAGGGACATTGCTATGTGAAGAAACGTTTACACTGTCGCCTATGGGAAAAGAATTAGTGACTGTATCAAATTCATTTTATCTGATAATTCATTAAGATTGAATATCCATGGTTCTCCATCATTTCACATTTTACTGTGGCACTAGTGCTTATATTCGCAGTCACTTCGCGACCGAATTCGCAAAGAAACCACTTATAATAAATTGAAAAACAAACAACTCTTCTGAATCACTAGTTAAATACACAAATGGTTTTGATTACTTGTCATCACTTGGCATTACCATTCAATTATGCGAAAAATGCACCGAGGTCTAGAAGATAATTGATTGTGGAAGCAAAACAATGGATCCTAGTCAGAGTAAATTAGTTAAGCATTATAAATTGAAAAACGGTACATATTGTGGAGATTTATTTTGAGATTTATAGATTTATACATTTTTCTTTCTGATCGGCGACGATCTTACTGTGACGCTAGTATTTAACTGTGGCGGAACTATGGCGCTGATTTATTAACTGTGGCGCTAAGAAATTTAACTGTGACGGGACCGTGGCGGTCCCGTCACAGTTAAATTCCTTAGCGCCATTCAATAAACGACCCATGGAGAATCTTGAATATCTGGAGAGGGAAGCTAGGTAGGTTTTTGTAATACATCGTCAATTCCAAAAAAATTGATTTTGTATTTTTTTTAATATTTCAATTATGATGCTTCTTGGGATTTTAATGAGTGTACAATAATCATGATAAAAGGAAAAACATAGCTTTTCATATTTGAAGGAATAGAAGATGGTTACCTTCACATATTTCCCCTGCAAACCCTTTGGGACATGTACATGTGTATTTAGGTCCTTTGCGTGACTTGAATGTTCCTGTGCGTGACTTCGATGTTCCTGTACGAGATCTAGATTCATCACAAGTCCCGCCATTAAGACATGGATTGGGATTGCAGTTATCGCCTGAAATCAATAGAATCAAATGGTCATCGTTTACTACATTTTTTAACCGAGTAATACGTGATTAACTGAACATATTTCGACATACTGCGGATTTTTTTTTTTGGTTTCCACTCTGTGCCCTTAGTTCATTAACTCTTTATCCCTTACACTGTCTGTGACGTAAAAGTAGCACTACATCAATCACTACGTGATGACGTAATATTTTTCCTCACAACACATGATTACAAACAGAAAAAAAACTGATTTTATAAAGTGGAGATGAAGATGCGTATGTGGCATATTTCTTCGTAAAATAGGTTATGTTTATTTTTAGTATTTTGTGCAACCTTGCTTTAGGAACTGTTAATGATGATTTGATCCCATTAACCCTGTTTAAAACATTTTTTGTGTGTATTTTTTTTAAGGCAATACAGCTTTTTACTTTATTAAGTTAAAGGGTTTAGTTAAAGCTAATTCTAAGGCATTATTTACAAATTCTTTTTAGGTTTTCTTAGATATCATTTCTGTGAGGGACAACTACATCTGTAGCTCTCCCCTCCATTTATTTCGTCAGTCACATACACATCCATGTAATCAAAACTTGCAAAATCTTTTTTTTTTTTCTAATATAAAGGGAGCGTTTTCGCTTTTAAATATTTTTGTGTTCAAGGAATTTTGAAGAAAAAAAAGAAGTTTGCATATCTGAGTTCGTAATTTACTTTTTTTGTATTTATTCATGTGAAATGATTAAAAATGTTGATTTCTCAAACTTTTCTATTGGATAATACTCAGCTAGATTAAGGAATCCCATAGGAAATATGCCTTACATAATTTG